AAAATGCACGACTTGAAGAGAAACGTAAAATGGTATTTACTGTGTAGTATATTTTATGTAAATTTACAATTTAATAAAAATATATAGTGCTGAATAATCCAAAACCMGTAGCTAATGGAACACCTAAGRCGTATCGTACAGCCACTGTACTGCGTCGTAAACACTCGTCGTTGTTTAGATTTATTTCTGTTTTATACTTCTCTATTATTTACTTTAAAAACCCTATGATGTAACGTGTTTGAGTTTAAGTAGTAGTGATATACATATTTACATCTTTAGAGTTTGTGCATAATATACCTGCTGCAGATATCTAGTCGACATACGGCGGAATCTCGATAATAGTAAACGAAAACTAAAATTATCTCCTTATAGATAAGCGTGATATTATGTACAGCTGATAATTAGTCAATGCAGAAGTAATGAAATTGGTTGTCGAATTTTTTTTTCGGATCTGAACTATTGTTGTGCGAATGATCATCCTAGTAGGTTTTATTTTTATAGATATAAATTATTGTTATGATACAATTATATTGATTTGAAATTCTTCGGGAAATTCACATCATAAACCCACCCGTCGTTTATCACTAGTACTCTTTATTCCACGTCCCTAAACAATAATAAAACCAAATTGCTGAACATCAATTACATAATACATCGAATGACGTGAATCTGACCATATCCGTATAGAAAAAGGAAACTAAACAAAAATATTTATTTAAGTCACCCAGGAGAGTAACACACGTTCTACCATATTATAATAAGTACCTTTGGGGAGTTGATAGAAGGTAGAGGTACCTACTATTATTATACTGTTTAGGTTATTTGAGTGTAGATATCATATACTTGAAAACATTTCTGGTTTTTAGATGAAACGAAGGTTTATTTTATTAGTGCTTGTCAGACAAAACGTTGATTTTGAAAGGAGTTATGGTTGTTCGTCGAGAGGGGAAGGGTAGAGGTTTGGTAAACAGGGCCAAGAAACCGTGTTGCTCTTTATAATTATTATAAGTAAATATATGCGTAGAGTGCCAAATAATTAAATCCCTTTTACGATTGGCCAGTCGGCAAAACCTAAGACGTTTAATCAAATATAAGTAGTTTGGTTTTACTTGTYAAACATAAACTTCTCGGATGTCCATCGAACTTTTAACCTCACATAATGTGATCAAATAAAGAAAAACAAAATCGAAAAAATCAAATTTATCGTTTATTGTGCGTACCTATTGGCCCATGGAATCATATTGAGCGTTACGAAGAGTTCCTTTAA